TACGTTCGTGCCATCAGGGAAATGAAACCTCTAACATCAGAAAACATCAAAAAAGGAATTACAAGGCCTTATCGGTCGCTTCGTGTGGATCAGACAATTCCAAGAGACACGTCTTCACGAACAAATCAGGTCAGATATGTTTTCAAAACTTATGGGTCCCATACACGAACTCAACAAGGTTAATAAACGTTTATCTGGACGCAAAATGCCGATAGAGCCTTCAAAAAAATCAAGGACCGTCTCCCTTCGCCACCCGTCATCTCGTTTCCAGATTTCTCCAAACTTTTCACACTCACCACCGACGCCAGTGACGTCGCATGTGGAGCAATCGTAATGCAAGAAGCCGACAACGGGAAGCTTTCTTCTATATTATAGCGGTCGCTTCCCATACATTCAACTCCACGGAACAGAACTGGTCCACGACGGAACGAGAGGCATATGCAGTAAAGTGGGCAATATTGAAATTTGATTATTTCCTTCGCAACCGCCCCATCGTCATCTTCACCGACCATAGATCGCTGACATATCTGGACCAACGACAGTTCAATAATGCCAAAATGCGACGATGGCAAGAAGAAATTTCATGTTATAAATTCGTCTTAGAATATGTTGAAGGCGAATCAAATGTATGGGCTGACATGCTCAGCAGAGGTTGCGGACATAAGAAAACGAAAGCCCCGAACGACCCTACACCGGCAGGCAGGACATTCGAGGTAAGCGGTTCAGACCTCCGCGTATACATCCCATCTTGGTGCCTCGGCGAGTTTAACGGTTTACAGCTCATTCCCAAAACTCACACACCACAAAACGCCCGCACCCACAAGCGCGTCACCAACGCATTCTTCGCCTACCACTCCACCACCACCATCCCCACTGTGAGAATCTGCAACCACCTCGGCATCGCAGATGAACAACTGAAAGACGACGCCCTGGCAACGATCATTAGTGCCCTCCAGTCACATCCTCCAAGCGAAACTCATATCGATCCTGACGACCACCGAGCTACGCTTTTCAAAAAAAACATTTGCACCAATTTTTTCTAGAACCAGGCACCTCCGTTTTGATGATAAGAGACAGTAAACAGTCTTCCGAGATTGGTTGTACCATACAAACTACGACCCAGATACCTCTACCAGGACACACGAGGGCAACAACCACTCAGGTGTTACCCGTATGCGAGAACTCCTTTCCAGCTACTGGTGGGAATTCAAAAACCGCGACATCAAGGCCTATGTTGATTCTTGCGACACGTGTGCTAAGTGCAAGGGCAACTACGGTAGACGTACCCACTGGCCCATTGGCCACTGCAAACGAAGAAAGAGACCATTCAATCTCGTCTTTATAGACTTTGCCACAATGCCCAACTCAAAGGGAAAACGCTACATCCTAACCATCTTGGATAGCTTTAGCCGACATTTTACAACCATACCATGCGCGAGAGACCATGCTATCGACGCCGCCTGCGGATTTTACCAGTTCTTCCTTCGACACAAAGAGATTCCACGCATAGTATCCTCTGATCGAGGCACACACTTCACTGGAGAAGTCTATCGACATTTCTGTAACCAGATGTCAATCACGCAAGAACTTCACTGTCCTTGCCCGTAAAGCTCCGGAAATATCGAGAGACAACATCGCATGATGAAGAACGCACTTTTATGCGATGGACAGGACGTTCTAGAATGGACAGACGTTCTAGAATAAATGCCACGACCAACAGCGCCACCGATGTCTCCCCCGCACTATGCCATTACTAGCCGTCACCCCAACATCGGCCTACCTACACTACACAGAAAAGAAATCACAAGCGACGATCCTGGAGCATATGGAATGCAAATTAATGCCCTGCTAAAACAGGTTCACCACCATGTCACCCTGGCCAACGATGAAGCTGACCACAAACTTGAGACTAATTTAAATCGCCTCACATACAAGGACCCAATACAAGTAGGCGACAAGGTTTTACTTCATCGGCCACACTCAACTGTTGCCCAATCCTCTCACCTGCCCTGGATAGGAAATTACACCATTATAAAAACGAACAATATGATGTGTCAGGTGCAAAACGATGATGGTGATACAATCTGGATTTACCGTGCACATATCCGACGACTGGCTCCACGCCCAACACATCTATCTAATACAATCCCTCTGCCTCCACCATGTAACAGTCACCAGGATCATTCTTCTCCACATCCCTCTGAGACACATAATTCAACAAATAACCACATACCAAAACAAATGCCAATAAGAAGAACATGAGGACAACTTCCCACACGCTTCAGAGACTTTATCATGAATTAATCACCCAAATATACACAAATAATGCTCACTGTAAATCAGACTGAGACCTGGGGGAGCCTTGTTATAAAATAAAATAAGACATATCTCGGCTGATTTGCAGGCAAATAAACTAACATACTCAAGAATGAGACGGGTGTGAACGGGACAAAGCCCTGTCACAAAATGAGCATTATCTTCGTTTATGCATATTCCTGACGCATGAGTTCCGGTTGAAAAATAAAATAATATTTTAAAGTGTTTCTATTTTTTGACCAATAAAAATGCTTCCCTCCTAATTATACTCGCGTCGTTTTTCGAGCCTGTTAAGCCATAAAAAACGCCATAAAAGGGGTCACGCGGAAGTACAACACCGGTCAACAGGAGGCCAGGGAAGAGACCTGTCACGGTCAGGTTGGGCGGTCAGCAGCAGCCAGCAGCAGAGTAGCGACACGCCAACCAGCGAGAACTACTATGAGAGATCAACCCAGATCGGAATCCGGCTTATGAACTATACTACAATATAGCTGTCCCAAAACCACACGTTCCTATTGAAATAAATCACGTAAATCTATTTCTGTTGTTGCAACCATACGCTTGTCTATAACATTAGGAAAAAATTGGCAGACCAACTTTATTGACGATGAAAAGAATTGCTCATGGCATTACAGGAAATAAACTAAATTTTGAAGGAGAATTTTACACAAATGTGACATTTATTGGCAAAACTATAAAATTAAAAGGATTCATTATTAAACAAACACAGAACCTGTTCGGTATGGACTGGATTGAGTCATTTGACCTTTTCAACCAACGAATTAATTTGTACTGCAATAGTGTTAGTGTTAATTCAAACAGCTTGAAAAATTAAAAAATAATTAAAGATAAAATTTCCTGAAATTCTTTTCTGCTGGTCTTGGCAGGCGTACAAAAGCTAAAGTGATATTTAAACTTAACAAGATTATGGCACCTATTTTTAGGCTGAAAAGAAAAGTACCTTTTGCAGCATCCATTAGTAAATAATTAGACTGCTTAGAGCAAATAGGCATGTTGAGCAAAACAGACTACAGTGAGGGTGCAAGCACTACTGTTTACATGAAAAAGAAAAATAATAAAATTAGGGTCTGTGCAGATTTTTCTACAGGACTGAACAATTGTTTGGAAACATATAATTACCCTCTGCTAAGTCCTGAAGATGTATTAGCAAAATTAAATAGTGGCAATGTGTTTACAAAACTTGATTGGCTGAGGCTTACCTCCAGATTCTAGTTGACAAAAAATGTATGAAGTGTTTAACTATAAATATGCCTAAAGGTCTGTATAGATTCAACAGACTGTCATTAAGGATAAAGGTTGCACCAGGCATTTTCTAGCAAGTCATGGATAATATATTGAATGATGTTGACTTCACAGCAGCCTACCTTGATGGCATCTTAATTGAGAGTGAAAGCTGAGAACATGTTAAAGAATGTTTTGAAAAAATAAAACAATATGGCTTGAAACTTAGTTTGGATAAATCGGAATTTTTAAAAATCTAAATTTAAGTATTTGGGACAGGTTACAGATGCAAAAAGCAGAAAACCAGACCCATCTAGATTGAGTGCTATAAATAATATGCCAAACAAATGTGTCAGTACTACAAGCATTTTTGGGTCTAGCAAATTACTATAGTAATTTTATCCCAGAATATGCATATGTTAAGAGCTCCTCTAAACAAATTATTAAAAAAAGATTCTAAATGGAACTGGAGTACTGAATGTCAGAGTCCTTTTGAGGAAATTAAAAAAATATTAATGTCAGACATAATTCTAGCACATTAGGATCTAAATAAAGATATTTTTGTTGCAAGTGATTTGAGCTTAAGAGCTATAATATTACACAAAGAAAGCAACATCCAAGTAAAAGTGATTTTGCCCATGCGTCAAGGTCCAGCTGAAAAAGAAAAAATAGAAAATAGAAAAAGAGGCTTTAGAGATAATTTTTGTGATAAAAATGTTCCATAGATTCATTCATGGAAAAAGTTTTATGCTTCAAACAGACCGCAGACCATTATTGTCTATTTTTGGTTCTACAAAAGGGATTCCTACACATACTGAAAATTAACATCAGAGATGGGAAACAATATTATTAAATTATAATTTGAAGATGGAATTCTTTCCATCAAATATGTTAAGGCATGCAGATGGGTTATCCAGGTTAACCCCCAAACTATATGAACCATTGGAGGAAACTGTGATAGCAGCCCTAAGAATAGAAATGGAAATAAGAAGTGTGCTGTGCAACACCATATATGGGAATTACCTGTAACTCTCAAACAAAAAAAAAGAAATAAATTATGAACCAACAGTACAAAAAGTAATGATAGTGAAAAGATTTTTTCTATCTGTGATGGAATTTTGATGTATGGTGAATGGGTGGTGATACTAGGAGCACTACAAAAAAGAATATTAAAATTTGAAAGCTTTAATGAGAAGCTATGTTTTTTGGCTGAATATGAAACAGAAAAAATGTAAAATCATGCAAAGGTTATACAATGGCAGCAAAGGTGCCACCAGTGAAATTTACCCCTTGCCCAAAGACAGACAGACCTTGGGCAAGGCTGCATAGAGATTTTTCAGGTCCAATGAAGGGACAATATTATTTAATTGAGGTTGACAGTTTCTTGAAATGGCTAGAGATGATGAAATTGTATTCAGATGATAGTTTAGACATCTCTGGGCTTATGGTCATAACACAATGAAACACCAATTACTGTACGATCACCGAAGTTAAGCAATGTTGAGCCTGGTCAGTACTGATATGAGTGACCACTTGGGAAAACTGGGTGCTGTAAGTTTAGATATGTAGTTGATGTAATGACTTGGAAATTGTTTAATAGAGAGCCAAGCTGGCTTTATATTCACTTATGTGTAAATAACCTTGGGAAAGCTATGAATCCACCTCTTCTCTCCCCCAGCTATGGGTAAATTAATAAGACTTGTATTACTAAATCATTATTATCTCAAAAAAAAAATCTTGTTCTTTTTCTTGTTTTAAATAACCTGCAAAGGGTTGATAAACTATAGAAAATGAATGAATCAATCAATGAATGGGATGGACATGACATCTATATGAAAGTTTAGATCTGACAAGGCTATTTAAGAACATGACACTAGTTTTCATGTCAATATTTTGGTTTTGTTGCATCTTACAATGCTGGACAAAAGCACCCATATCCTGAGTTCAACTTTATTATATCCTTGTTGATTGGTTGGTAACAATAACACCTGTATCTTCTCTGTTGTGAGGATTGATGCAAGGAATCTATTTCAAATCTGTGACTCACAAATTTCAACACTGCATCTGCCATGCTAGATACCTTCCTTCCACTGGCTATTGGCTTACCTATTCATCTACCTCAGAGTTCATACAGCTTCTTGTATATTCAAGCACCTGAATCAAACCACATGCCCCACATCATGCTTAAACTATGTTTTCTGCATTCTGAAGGATGTGAGTTCGATCCAGGCAGGCAAGACACAACCGAGTTCTCTTCCTCTGCTGAACTGGTAAGTTATTATTTCCACTACACTACCCTCTGATCTCATTATCATCACACAAACTGCAGGGTGTATGTGGCCTCTTGTTGCGAGAACTCTTCCAAAGTGGGACAGGCTTGGCCTCTTCTTCAGAAGAGCTCTCAGAAGAGGCATCTGTGGGGTTTATCTGCCCACAAGCCTCCCACACAGGGAAAATAGTTTGCTGTGTGATAACATTGGGAATGTCCAGAACTGCAGTTCCCAGTCTTCATAACAATCTGCCTTGCTCCTTCTGTAATCTCCAAGTCCAGTACCCAGGCTCCATTCTCGATCCATTCCAGGCCCTTGCAGACCAAGCCAAACTGGGCCAGCTTTGCCTGTACTCTTGTCAATAATGTGATATATCCTCATTGATGTAGATGTCATCTAGGTATGCTGAGGTTGCTTTTTTGACTGCTTTTTCCTGAGATAGTATGGCGCTGATGACGATCTTCATTATTTGGGGTGCCACATTTAGCTTGAAGCTCAGTTTGGTTAGGCAGTACCTTCTGCCATTGGACATCATGATCTGGAATGGCCAGAGTGATTCACTGACCCTAATCTGCAGACAGGCTTCTTGGGCACTATCAGTGCATCCACTTCGATAGAGTTTCCATTCCCAATGCCACAATACACATGAGTCTCGCCATTTATTGTGGTCAATGAAAATCACTTCCTCCTCACTGGAAGAGCCTGATATATACATAACTGACAGGCAGCGTCTCATCTAGATATTTGTGGAAGAGACTGACATTGATGTCTTGTCCTCAGCTCCATTTCCCAAGCAATCCCAAGTGATGTGTCCCTCCTGGTTGCACCTCATGCATGCTCTTCGTCTCTTGCATTCTCTGACTGAGTTACCTTGGCACCTATAACAGGTCATCCCTACATTAGTCCTAGTAGTAGCCATGATGACCAGCTATTCCGAAACAGAGCTCTCCCTTATAATGATTTGGGCATGGTCCAACGGCTGGTCCAGTAGCATTGTGTCTATGCTGGAGTTCACTTGCAACAGCTCCTTAACATGCAGTGCGAGCCCAGCCAGGAATGCATATGCCATCACTTTCTAGGGCAGTCCTCCAAACAATCGTGCCAGCTTTTGTAATGCTGCCACGTAAACAGCTATTGTTTCCCTTGGGTGTAGTATCCATGCCACAATCTGTTCATTGGCTTCCGGGAGAGTGGGGGCTAGTTGGCAAATGCCTTGAAAAGTACAGCCTTTATTCTTGCTTCACCCCATTCAAATGGCAAATTAATTCCACTTCCTAAACTTCCCATGATACAACTGGGGTAGAATTTAATTCAAATCAAATTTACAGTCTGTCATCATACATCAAATGCTGAAATACCTTTGTTGGTAACTGTTGTGGTAGGATCCACCTAATTTGCATACTGGAGTACCGACCATATAAATATGGTTGGTACCGGGAAGAGAGGGAGGAATCAAGAGATTCAACCAGAGACTCTGCCCGACTGCGACTCAGTCAACACATTCTCCAGGAAAGGTCTTACCAGGAATATACAAAAGACTATATGTAAATATTGTGTACACTTTCTTGTTTCAATACATTTTGTTCTAAGTACATTTTGTGTTGCATTATTATTCCATGCATTAGTCAAGTTTCAACAGTAACGATAACACCATTACCTTCTCTTTTGTGAGGATTGATGCAAGTAATCTATTTCAAATCCATGACTCATAAATTCCGACATTGCATCTGCCATGCTAGACACCTTCCTCCCACTGTCTATTTATCTACCTCAGAGCCCACACAGCTTTTTGTACATCTGAATGCCTGAATCAAACCATATGTCTCATATCATGCTTAAACCATGTTTCCTGCATTCTGAAGGATGTAAATTCGATCCAGGCAGGCAGTTTAGTTTTTATCAATTAAACATTCTGAATTTTTATGATGGATTCAGAGTAGGTGTCATCACAACTCTCATTCCAATTACAGATTATAAATTTGTTTAAGAAACATTTATCTGGAAACCTAATTTTTAGAAAACTTGATATAAAATGTTGATATTTTGTCCAAGATCATTCTTATACTGATTACAAACATCTCTGTCATCATTGTTGGTATACTGATCTTTACAGTGAGAAGCAAGAGGATCCCAAAGTGAGAGAGAGGAAGACAAATATAGAAAAGGTAGACAATGAATTTTTTTATTATGTGCATACATGCATGAAGATTTGGTATTGATAACATTCCTCAATACAATTTCATCTTTATTTTATAAATTAAAGTTGAACTAGACAATGTTACGAAACAGAAATTAATTATCTCAACCACCATCTGTAACCTTGTTTATGGTAATAAAAGACCATATATTTCAATGTAGATATAAGACTTTAAATCAGGGTAGGAAGGTGAGAAAAGATAAAAGAGGGTAAAACTTTGAAGAAGTGGGTGAGACATCATCACAAGGGCCACTGTACACAAAAGAGGAATAAAAATAATAACATAAATGACATTCCAGAAAATTTGAGAAGCAACAATTGTAAAGGAAAAAAACAATTTTTTTTCTAAAGGTAATCACTACTACAAAATGGAATTGACAATAGAAAGGAGAAAAAAAAAACATCAGTACTGCTGAAAGATGTAACACCGACAATCCCACTATTTTTTATTTAACCCCTGGGAAATATTATAAATTTGTAAGCAGTAAAAGGCTGAAGAGTTTTTGTTACTGTCTTCAATGTACAAGTAACAATTGGAGGGTTGTATGATACTGTTTAATAAGAAAAAGTCTGTTTCAATAGAAAATATTTTGCAAAAAACCTATGACAGTTATTTATAGGCATATTTCTTCTTCTATGTGCCGTATTTCTTCAAGACGTTAGCAATCATGGCTTCCACAATTTCCTGTCCATTGTAGCTCTTAATAAATGTTGTCTTTTTATCTCTCCTAAATCCTGTTTTGGCATCCATTTACTCAATCTCGCTATGTAGGTTTTGCATTGTTTTCCTCTGTCCCTCAATATGTCCTGTGAGTATCAAATTTTCCAAACCCTCTTTCCTCATTATGTAGTCTAGAAATTTCAACTGTCTCTTTCTGATGTTAAGTATGTGTCTTTTGCACTTTCATTTTTTTTAAAACTTTGTTGTTGCTCACATGTTCAGGCCATGGTATTCTCAGCATAAAAAGGCTACAAGTGTGAGAACCCTCAATAAGGATAGAACTCAGTACAGTAGTGATGGTCTGCTAAGCTAGCTTCCCTACTATTATTCTACTGTAAGGTGGCAAATGTCAGCTATTTATATATATTGTGCATGCATAAATAAAATAATATACACAGAGTGGTCAGTGAAGAAAATTGAATTTATAACCAAATCCAAGTCAGATGACCAATATCAAATTTCAATATCTCAGTCTATTAAGTCCTTTTAGCTAGAAGTGGGGTAATCTCTGACCATTTTTAATTAGGGAGAGGAAATTCAAGTAGCAGGTAGTTAAATAAAGACTATAGGACATTATATAATTGCCAATTGATTGAGTCAAGAACTTCTTAGGGCTTCTTGGTCTAGCAGAAGTTTAAAAATCTCTATGACATGTTTATTTCTGCAGCCAAAAATAGATTAGGACTACCTCCAACTAATAGGAATTGCTAATGGGAAAAGAACAGCAATCCATTTTTTTTCCAAAAGGGTTTTCCTTTTTTAGTGGGAAGTTGCCAATGTTATACTTGATCAAGTTTCACTAATCTACTCCAAGCCTCTCTTGTCATCACCACTGTGACCTTGGTCAACTGACCCACTATCACACCTTACCAGGCCTTACAACTGATCAACCCTGTCAACGACACCCCACATTTGTAGCTTCACAAATCTACTCCAGGCCTCTCTCATCATCAACACTGTGACCTTGGTCAATCTTTCAGCACATTTTACCAAGCCTTACCACAGACCAACCCCACCAAAGACACCCCACTCATACTTACCAACTGTATATACCTTGTGACCTCATACTGGTAAATCCACACCAGATAAGTCCTTTTCATACATGTATGCTGAAACTGAGTACTATGTATATATTCTGAAATTTGATAAATAAATGCTTATTAAAATTTTAATCCTTGTTTCTTCTTTCCATTGCAATCATATGCTGGATATAACACCAATGACTCCATATGCAACTTCTGACTGGTGACATTTCATTATCCTGAAAAAGACGCCAAATGTTGTAAATTTCTGAGGTATGAGCAGTTAATATTCAAATCACAAATGTGAATTTTTTCTAGTTTGTTCATAAAGTTATCTTCTATTTC